CACTTGCCTCTAATTAAAAGTCTATGTATGCCACTTGCCTTCAATTCTAAAATGGGCGTCTAAATAAAGTTTGAAACTGCAATTATTGGCTCAAGTTGGGTTGGTTAGAGCCTGGTGGCCAAGCGGTAGAAAAATAAAACCTACACCTAACTTCAACCCGAGCAGACCTAAATTTTGCAGCTTGACCTGCTGACATGGTATTTTGGCAGTACCAAGACTTGTAAAAATTTATGGATCCTCATATGTGAATAGAATATTCGGTCTATCGTTTCATCCGAATCGTACACATGTATAGTGCCGCATGTAAAATTGGTGACTGTTTTTTTTATATCTTTTATATAAATAAAACAATTAAATACATCAAGAGTCATATTAGATGAAAAACTTTTCCTTCTCTGTCGTTTCGCGTGTGTATGTGCAGTTGATTATAATATGGAGTTTAAAAGCAACAGGATAAACAATGGATGGGGTGGGGACAGAGTTAGAAAAGAGAGAATCGATTACACTAGTGAGGCAAGTATATATAATGAATTTTTATTAAAAATTTAGCAGGTATAATTTTAAGATTTTAACCAAACAAAAAATGGCAGTAAAAATGCCAATAAATTTACGTGCGTGTTAAAAGAGCTAAAAGATTCATATGTGGACTAAATTAATTGTAATAAAGGGCATTAGCGCACACATATCTTGGCATAAGCCAGCGTTCGGAGTGTGTCCTTGTGCGTGCCTTGGCGTGCCCGATGCCATGCGAGCGCTAGCATTAGGCTTAAAATTCGACTTAAATAGTATTGAACTAAAGAGTAAAGATAAAATGGGCTAAACAAAAAATAAAAAATAAAAAATAAAAAATAAAAAATAAAAGAAAAAATAAGATTGGGCTAAAATTGTAAGAATAAATTTTTCGTCATTAAATTGGGCTACAAGTGTAAGAATCAATCTTTAAATTGGGTCAAAAAGTCTGTTACAGTACATGCCAGGCCCAAAAGACTATTACAAGACATGTCCACTTGACAAATGAGTTGTTTATCATCAATCTCTGTTTGGAAAAGTTTTGCATGTGCTTTTCCACATGAAAAGCCTTTTTAGCTCATGTATATCTCACTAAGATTATGGTATCTGTCACATACTCCTACTATATATTTATTTATTGGATTTGTTAGTTTGTTGCAGTTATAAACCAACCGAGACAAAGTTAAAACATAGTGTTGGCCCTGTTGGGTGGGCTACTTTTAAAAACTAGACCACACATCTGTGACACTGCAACTCTTTACCATCTAATCCCGCCTATTGGAGAGATTAGGATGAGTCGGAACAAGTTGGGTTGGATCTTATCAGACTCTAAACCGCTAATGAACCACTCGAGTTCTGTTTGACATGGGTTCGATTCATACTTGTTTATTAAACGAGCCGAGCAAACTCAAAACACTTTCTATTTGACTCGTTTATTCATGAACACGACCATAACAAGCTCACCAAAGGACTCATTTTGATCTCTTAGAAATATAGCCCTTAATTATAGACCCATCAAATAGTTTCTGTTTGGTTTCAATATGTTAGGCCCATTAATTCCATGTCTTGTTTGGTGCATTAAGCCCATGTATTATAAAAATCAAACAAGCCATGTTTAAACCCTTGTAGGCCCATTAACCACATGTCTTGTTAGGTGCATTAAGCCCATTTATTATTAAAATCCAACAAGCCGAACACTATATTAATTCCAACCACGAGTTTAGTTTTCCCACATCAATTTGCCAACTAATTCTTCATTTGGCTGAAAATTTAAGTCAAAAAATGTGAGACCTGGTTTGGCTTTCTCTACAAACCCCTGAAAAATTTGCTATCTTATAATTATTATTTTCCCAATTTAGCAAGTGCATGTATCAATGTCATTGGTCATCTAACTAACACCTGCTTTTCAAGTGCGTGAAACTACCATTTCCAATCATGTTTTATCTTTTAGATTTCCTCACAGGGTTGTTTCTTGGTGCAATATGCAGATTCAAATCCGAAACGATTATTTCATGCAAAAGAAAACCAAATATGTTACATCTGTTTCCAATCTTACTATTCTTAGTTCTCATCGCCGCGGGATCCAATTGTTGATCAATCTATTTCAAATAACCTTCGAAGTTCGGTTATCGCCGTCGTAGTTCTTATCGTGTCGTCGTTGACATCCTCTTTTCCACACTCTCTCCCCTACTCTCTCACTTTCAGTTCACAAATCTCTAAGTCTCATGGCGTGTTTGCGCCTCAAGCACAACTAATATCGACAACGAATTAAGTTTCTTAGTTTTCAACTACGGATTTGTCATCCTTTTCAGTTTTAGTAAGATTCAACCTTATTTTAATTTCTAAAAGGTTTTGTTTTTGAATCTATTTCACCCACTTTCCCCTCGTTTTTTCCCTCTCTACTTTAATCTTGGAATAAGAAATTTGAATGCTGTTATTGATATATATATATATATATTTTTGGAAGGTATTTTATTTTAATGGTATTTTATTTTATTGATATACAATACGAAGAAAAAATTAGGAAAATAAAATTATACTAGAACAGTGGAACCGAACCGAACCGAACAAAACCAAACCGTTTTTTCATGATTTGGGTTGATTTGGTTCTATTGGTTAAATGGTTTGATTCAGTTTCAAATTTTTTAAAACCGTAAGGAGTGGTTTTGTTTCAAAAATCCTTAAAATTGGACCAAATCGTATGCATCCCTACCCCTGCCAAACCACAACACCTGAGCTAGATCTTGCCAAACCAACTTCTAAGCAAATTACTTAAACTTAAAGATGTAAGAAAATCTAACAAGTAGCTTTTATTTCTACATCATTTTGTAAGACCGGACATTGGTTTGTTCTAGCTTCAACTCAAGCCAGTTTTTCGTCTAACCTTTTGGTCCGTTGACATTGTATTTTTTAGTTGGTCCGGGCACTTTTTATAGAGTAATGATATAATAATTGACTTTTTTATTTTTATTTTTATTTATTTTTTATGTACCCATAATAAATAGTGTTCAACAAGTACCGATAAGTATATGGTCTCTCTCCTCTTAAGTGTTTATCTTATTGAATGACTAATCACTTGGTTATAGCAAAGAAAACTTTTATCATTTATAATTTTAAACCCAAAAAAATTTTTGATGTAAAAGCAAAAAGTCAAAATCTACTCTCCAAAATTCACATAAAGCACCATGCATATGCTGAAATCCGCATAATTTTGAAAATGATGTTTAAGTGCTCAAATCTGCATAATTTTGAAAATGACGTTTAAGTACACCTCATTAGATGGATACATTTTAAGTTATGATGTTTAAAAATGTGATTCCTATAAGATTCCCCTTATAACTGCCAAAAGTACTTCTAACATATGGTTTTGAGAAGAAAATAAATAAATAAATAATCAAACAATAAATAGAGCGAATAAAAAAAACTGTGCCACCCTTTACCATGTGAATCAAATGGAAGACGCTAACCATATCATCCTAAAAATTTTCTTTCTTTATGAAATGGTTAGAGATCCAGCTCAAAAGAACATTCAAATACACAGACAAATGCATCAAATTAGTTATAATTCAAAAAATTAGATTCCTAACCCAAATAGGAAAATCATTGTGCCCCTTGCAAAATCAAGGCCACGTGTTTGGAACGAATTATGAAAAAAAAAAAAAAAGGGTTAATTCGTAGTGAAACATTGCTTTATGGATCACTTGGTGCTTACTGCTCGGTGCTTACAATTGGTCGGTACCAAGTTCGGTTCCACGATTCAACCTTATTTTAATTTCTAAAAGGTTTAGTTTTTGAATCTATTTCACCCACTTTCTTCTCGTTTTTCCCCCTCTATTTTAATCTTGGAATAAGAAATTTGAATGCTTTTATTGATATATATATATTTTTTGGGAGGTATTTTATTTTATTGACATTTTTTATTTTTTGTTTCTTCCTTATTTTCTTTTCATACTTCTTCCTTCCATCATACCGACCATATCACTGGTCCTAATATCTTGTCTCCCTAATCACCACTGTAGCGTATGCAAGTCTAAATATATATATATATATACCATTAGTACACCTTCACTGGTCGACTCAACCATGAATTCCTTGTCGATTGCTAGCAAATGGTAGGGCCAAAGTTAGAAATGAGGTTCTCATTTCAACAGCACAACTATTGGTTTACAGCCTCACAATTCAAGTTTGAAAACCAGAGGGCTTAAAAATCTTCTACGTGTGGCGCGTAGCTGCTCAGGTGAAACCATCATGACCTCTTTCAGTCATGCATTGCAGTGGCCTCGCGACAAGCAGGTCTCAATACATATTCTACTTGTACCATACGTGTTTGAATCGATTGTTGTTCACTCATAATCTAATATTGTACACCACAATATTAGATTCTTCGTGTCATAAGGGGCCAACAAAGGGGTTCACATTGCATTATTGAATAAGAACCGATAATAAGGACCCTACTAATTTTGTGCCATTTTCTTTGCAATATTAACTTCATCAACCTTTTCTTTGCAATACTAATTTTGTGTCATAAGGGACCAATATATATACTGTAGTGGTAGCAAAAGAAGAATGCCCATAATAGATTCAAAAAATCATCACAGGCAGAAACCTTTTCCGCATGCAAATTAGTCAAGTTGCCCAACAAATAATGCATGGTACTCAAGTACAAGAAGAAGATAACAATCTTTCTATATAAACAATGTCATATAGATTTGTAATCACAGAAACACCTTACCTGATCATGAAAATACTTTAGTGCTATTGAAATATTGAACACATGGTATCACCGATTGATTAAAAATTTGAATATATTGGCCTCACCCACTTAGTAAATGTATTTTTATTTCTGTGATAAAATATAATTAGTTGATTCCATTGTGACATAGTATCACCAGAAGTCTTCCTCGCTTAAACATGTTACATGTGGTGGTCGTAATGATCACACGGGCAAAGTACCCCACATCAACATGTGTAAAATGCATGAGTCCACTTAGTCCAGTTTTATTGGCTCCCTATTCATCAGTACTCCATTATAAATATGTATGCAAGTCTTAAATATATTACCATTCCAGCTTCACATGACCACAATGGATTTTTTTTCTCATTTGCTAGCAATTATAGCACTTCTAGGTTTGGTGGTCCTATGTAGTTTCAAAAGAATTAGACCAAACAGTGCTAAAAATAGCAAGAGCATTGGAGCCCCAGAACCATCTGGTGCTTGGCCCATTATAGGTCACCTCCATCTTCTTGGGGGTGAACTCCCAGTTGCCCGAACTCTTGGAGCATTGGCCGATAAATATGGTGCAATTTACTCACTCCGGCTCGGCAGTTGTCCAGCGCTAGTGGTGAGTAGCTGGGAGGCAGTAAAAGAGTGCTTCACTACCAATGACACAATTTTTGCAACACGGCCAAGCATGGCAGTGGGGAAGTACATGGGCTATGACTATGCCGTCTTTGCCCTAGCGCCTTATGGACCATATTGGCGTGATATGCGCAAGATGGTTGCATTGGAGCTCATGACAAAGCATCGCCTTGAGCAGCTCAAGCACGTACGAGCCTCGGAAGTGGACTCATTCATTAAAGATCTGCACTTGCTATGTGTAAAGAACAGAGACTTCCCAACCAAGGTGGTCATCAACAAGTGGTTTGAGCATTTGACATTCAATATTATCGTCAGGATGCTAGCTGGAAAGCGATTTGCTGCTGACGAGAGCAACAGCGAGGATTTGGATTTCAAACAAGCAATAAAGAAAGCATTGTACCTTGGTGGGGTTTTCGTTGTGTCCGATAACATTCCATGGCTTGAATGGGTTGATATTGGAGGGCATGTCAAAGCTATGAAAGAGACTTCTAAGGAACTTGATGCAGTCTTCGAAAGATGGCTGCAAGAACATATTCAGGATAGAAAACAGTGTAAATCCAGTGGCGAACGCGACTTCATGGATTTGATGCTATCAACCCTTGCAGAAGATACCGGTGCATCCAGCTACAAGCGCGGCACCATCATCAAGGCAACAGTACTGGTAAGAATCTTGATTATAACATGAAAATTTCTAAATTTCAATTATTTGGACAAAACTTAGGACAACATAGTCATTAAAAACATCTTACCAGTTACCATGTGGTCAGTTACCATGTGGTTCAGAATAATTCTATCATTTGGTAATACTTATTGATATTAAAAAGCAAAAAAAAAATGATTTCACTCCTATGTAAAACACTAGTGTGTCATAATATTAAAAAGCTTGGTTCAACTTACTAGTGTGTGTGTTTATAGCATCTATAATCTTTTCCCAAATGAATAAATCATTTTAATGTAGGAACATTGAAGATCTGGAAATCTCTTTAATTCTACACATTTCTCAATAGATTTCCATAACTAACAAAGATATAATCTACTTTCAAAATTATCATTATATTATTTAGGTTATTAAACCATAAAAACAAGCTTTTCTATGAGTCTTGAAGTTTGTGTGGACTATATCACTGTGAAAGAATGATTTTTATTTTATTTCTTCCGTCTTTTAATTAAGACCATTTTTCAATAACAATCCAATCACCATATCTATAGATTCTCATAATGACCGGTTCAGAAAGCACGGCTGAGACACTAATATGGGGTCTCTCCTTACTAATGAACAACCGCCACATGTTAAAAAAGGCCCAAGATGAGCTAGACATCCACGTAGGAAGAGACAAGTGGGTTGAAGAATCAGATATCCAGAACCTAACATACCTACAAGCAATTATCAAAGAAACATTTCGATTATATCCACCAGGTCCCCTATCAGGGCCTCGTGAAGCCATGGAAGACTGTTACATTAACGGCTACCATGTCCCAAAGGGCACACGTTTGATCGTTAACCTATGGAAGCTACAACGAGATCCACGCATATGGTCAAATCCTTCCGAGTTTCAGCCCGAGAGGTTCCTAACAACGCATGCAAATGTCCGTGTTAGGGGTCAGGATTTTGAGTACATACCATTCAGCTCTGGCAGAAGAATGTGCCCTGGTGTTACTTTCGGTTGGCAAGTGGTTCAATTGACACTTGCTCGTTTCCTTCAAGGGTTTGACATAACAACACCAATGAACATGCCGGTGGATATGACAGAAGGCGCGGGCATTGCCTTGCCAAAGTTAAGCCCACTTGAAGTTGTCCTCAAGCCGCGCCTTCCTTTGGAGCTCTATCAAAAATTACGAACCAACAGCATCACTCTAGAGTGTGTATATGGATCATAAAGATGGTATATGTAGTATTAGTATTACAGAGATCGCATTTGCAGTGTGAAACTAAAATAATGGTCAGAATGGGACCAAGTTACTATGTTAACCTAAGCTTTTCTCTGTGTGTAACCTTCTAATACTCCTAATCTGGAATGGGATTACATGTTCAATAACTTTTAGTATCCTCTATACTTTTATGTCTTCACTGTTGTTAAAAATAACTATTAGTCCAAAAACATTCATTAAGATAAAAAGGCATGAAAAAGTACTAGGGGCTCATACTATTCATTATTCATTCAATACAATACATACTGTTTCATACAATCTAAAATGTGTCATTTAATATTCAAAAGTTTCTAGATACACTAGAAACGGCTAATAAATTATGTGTACAACGTTTTTTGCTCATACTATTCTAACTGGGACCGAGACTTTGTTAGTTTGTTAAATGGAGTTTCAATCTAAATCACATAATTTTTTTTAAACATGTGACGCTTTTACGCCCCGCGCCCCCAAATTTCTCGTATTCTGCTCTCACCCACACCAGCACTGGGCACCGTGTGACTTAGGTTTCAATCCATTGCTCTATGAGAGTTTGACCATTGTTTTAAACAATTAAATGGCACAACATGGTGGGAGTGGGGGCAGAGAGATTTTATCATGAACTCAGAAATTCTGCTTACAGTTGGGAGAGAAAAAAAAAAAAAAGGAAAAAAAAAATATATATATATAGACACACACACACATATATACACAGATATTTTACAAATATAGTAGAACATATAGCTCTTCCTTACCCACTTCAGCTCTTGGGTTTAATCGAAGAATTAACTTCAAGATTGATTATTCATTGAATTATACAATTATTGTAAGAGATACAATCAATATAGGAGATGGAGTTACCCCTTATAATTTTATAATAATAAAAATTAACAAAACTATAAACTAATTTAAATTATAGAATATATAATAAAAACTAATTTCGAAGAATTTGGTCCAATCCTCCAACAAATTCTTCAATTGAAAAAAAGTGTATTCAAAATCTTCTAACCCAATGAAATAGTGAGCTTGTAAAGTCGAGAAGATGAAGAAAAAAAAAAAAAAAAAGTTATATTGAGAGAGGAGAAAAAATATGTGAAGAATAAAAAAATAAAGAAAATAAAAGTTAGGAGTCTTAGAAAAATGTAGTAGAAAGTTTCACCAATTTACACCACAATTGTTAAATATATTTTTAATATTTACTCTTGATGTAAGTAATGTAAAGAAAACGATATATTTCACCTCGTTTTCTTCATATATATATATATATATATATATTTTTGATGTAATGACGATGGGGGAGAGAGAAAAAAATGTAATATAAGGATAGAAATATTTTGGGCCTACTATTAATAGGGAAAACTATACATAGAGTTAGGAGCCTTAAAGGCTTAAATAACAAAATAGTCTATTTCAAAAGTTCATTTTTCACTTTGGTTGAATTAAGTAAAATAATTATATATATACATCAATAACTATTGTTTAGGTCCAAAATGCTCTCTAAACACTTATTCTAAAATACTAAAAATTATTTTCTTAAAATCAAGTACTTTCTTTAAATAATTTATTTCCTTTAATTTTGAACCATATTGCTCCAACTTTCATACTTACACACATGATAACTTATACAAATAATAAAAAAGATTCAATATAGTAAAAAATGGGACAATCAAATGTTAGTCCTCAAAAAAGAAAAATATAATTACACTCAAGAATTTATAAATTGTCTTTGTTGTGGTGCATGCCTTGAAATGATTATCAATTTTTTGGCTCAATTAATTACACTTGTTTTATAAATAAATAAATGATTGCTGGTGTATCATTTATTGGAATAACTATTTAGTTTTTTTTATGATCTCCCTCTCTTGTGCGTGTATACTATATGTATGGGTGTATGTATATATATTCATAGAAATTTTTTTACATTTGCAGGTTTATATTGGTATGAATTAGAAGATCTGATTAAAGTTATGTGCAAATAAATAAATAAATAAATAAATAAATAAATATATATATATATATATATATATATATAGGATGAATTTCCACTTACTCAAAAAAAAAAACAAAATTATATACATAATAAATTTCCACTAAATTATTTGTATGTTTCTAAATTGATATTTACATGTTTGAATCGATATGGTTAAAAAAATTTGGACAAAATTTATATATATATATATATATATATATATATATATATATATATATATTTGTGTTTATTTATTATTTTATTTATTTTGATAATATATGTACCATATGCAGAAATGCCAAGTTAGAAGTTAACTCACACATCTTATTTTTCTAAATTTTATGATTGAAATAATTATTTAATTTAGGAAGGATATTTTGAAATAAGAGTTTGGAGGATATTTTGAAACTAAATAATAGTTTTTAATGTATATGTAATTATTTTACCTAATTCAACCAAATTAAAAAATTAACTTTAAAAATAGATTGATTTGTTATTTAAGGCTCCTAAATCTACTTAAATGTAGTTTTCTCTTAAATTTATCTATTATTGGTTGAGGTTTAAAAATAGAAAGAAAAAAAAAAAAAATCTTAGGTAGGTTTAATATATAAAGAAAAATAAATAAAAAACGGGAGCCCCTAAAAAAAAAAAAAGGTGAGAAAGGATAAAAATCTTTTAGGCCCACTATCAAATCTCTCTATTTGTTGAGATATAATAATTAAAAATAATAACTGTTGTAGAAAAGTTATAATATAGGGCTAAATGCTCCAAGACCCCTGCTATTTGGATTTACTGCTCTCATATTAAACTCCAACCAAAATTGATGTCACACCTTTATTAAAGGTGCTAAAAAGTGATTTTACTACTATACCATTCGATTTATTTAACTCTAAAGCTTATGTCATTGTTGACATGTGCATATAAAATGTGAAATAACAATATTACCCCACAAGTAGGAGATGATTTCTGTCCTTTCCGATCGATGATTTCCCCTATTCTAATTCTAGACTCCACCAAAAAAACCCAGAAGAAATAGACACAACTGAAAATTAATCATGGTTGTTTCTAATTAATTGCATCATGGTTTCCAAAAGAAACCAGTCCAACAGTTGAATAGGAATATGACATACCCAGATCGGAATTGAGACCCGCCCCGACGACCAGACCAGAGGCTCGTCTACCCGTTGCGGCGACGAAGAAGACGGTCCAGACAGAAGTGAGAGGGAGTCGACCACAACGCCGACCCGTTGTGAGCTCTGGACGTCGCCTTTTCTACTCCGAGGAGCGAACCTTGTTGATCGGCGACAACAATAACACCAATCTTCAGTTAGCGACGGCAACACTCGAAGAGGCTTTTACGGCAACGACCCAGGGTCTATTTGATGATTTGAAACAAATCCCCAATATTTCATTTAGTGTTAAGGTATATTATTGAATCAATTTGAAGATAGATGGAGGGTTGGTTGAAAAATAAATTGCAGAAAATATAACAGGGTTCGCTCGTGCATGTCTGAAACAATTTTTAATTCTCCAAGAGTTTCACCTGATATCTGTAGAAGTTACCACATTAACGACTTATTATGTTCAATTGATGCTGTTTTTCCAAAGACCAACAAGATTGTAGTACTTTTTTTCAGTGTAGTACTACCAACATTATTAACTACACAGCAATCTTTTCTCCAAATCATCCCATATAATTCTTGAAATTATGAGAATTAAAACTCTATTCTTTATTCATCGATTCATTGATGAGTATTACATCCAATTTATAAAATAGGATTAGTTCAAATAAGTAACTAATTACCTATTAATTAACCTTAAATTAAGGAATAAATAATTCAATCATATATCTGTACTATAAGAAATAAAATCTGCACAGATGTCACACATGCCCAACTTGTCTAAAAATTTTAAAAACACTTTATTTGAGACTGCTTTGATGAGAATGTCGGTTAGTTGATCCTCAGATCGAATCTGAAGTAACTCCATAATTTTTCCATCCAACTTCTCCTTAATGAAGAATCTATCTATTTCAACATGTTTCGTACGATCATGTTGAACTAAATTATGGGCAATATCACATACTGGTTTATTGTCACAATATAGTCGAATAAGTTGTCCAGGTAGATAACCCAAATACCGTAATAAAAGTCTTAACCATAATGTTTCACAAAGTGCAAGCGCTATACCTCTGAATTCAGCTTCTGCACTTGAGCGAGCAACAATATTTTGTTTCTTACTTCTCCACGAAACAAGATTACCTTCTACAAAAGTAAAGTAACCAAAAGTAAATCGCCTATCATCTATAACTCCAGCCTAGTCAGCATCAATATATGCAGCTATGTTTTGATAACCAGTATTTTTAGTGAATAAAATTCCTTTTCCAGGAGCAGATTTCAAATACCTCAAAATACGCATAACTGTATTCATATGTTACTCTCCAGGATCATGCATAAACTGGCTAACAATGCTCAATGCATAAGCCAGATCCGGTCTCGTGTGTGCTAAGTACATCAATTTCCCTACAAGTCTTTGGTATCTTACTTTATTAGCAGGTACTTGGTTGGACTCAACACATAACTTCAGTCCTTCTTCTACTGGTGTCTCAGTTGGTTGACATGATATCATGCCAGTCTCTTGTAATAGATCTAAAGCATATTTTTTTTGAGATAGAAAGATTCCTTTATTAGATCGAGATACTTTGATCCCAAGAAAATATCTCAAAAAACCTAGATCTTTCATTTCGAATTCTCTGGACAAGTACTTCTTGAGAGCCTTCATTTCTTCAAGATCATTCCCTTAACCACCATGTCATTTACATAGACAATGAGTGCAGTGATCTTATCTTGTGGTTTCTTCAGAAATAACATGTGGTCTGAATTGCTCTAACGGTAGCCAAAGGCTATCATAGACTTTGTGAATCTTCCAAATCATGCTCTTGGAGATTGTTTCAACCCATATAATGATTTATTTAACCTGCAGACCTTCTGACTATACTTTTCGGATATTATGCATCCTGGTGGGAGATCCATGTAGACTTCTTCAGATAATTCACCATGCAGAAAGGCATTCTTCACATCAAATTGTTGCAATGGCCAATCCAAGCTCGCAGCTAAAGACAACAAGACACGAACTATGTTTATTTTGGCTACAGGTGCGAACGTATTGGTGTAATCGATTCTATAGGTTTA